GAAGGCTTTCATGGCCGGGATCTAATGGTTGTTGTGGGTTCTTCGGGCTCTTTGGCCATGTTCTGAAGGTTGTTCTTCCTAACGTTTTGTCAGTCTCTGTGGCTGGCATCTTCAGAGGAGAGAAGTTAGAGCTCTGTCCGTGTTCTTGTGTAGTATGTGGGATAGTTGAGCATTTATAGCTGTGGGATCAGCTTTTTGTCCTTTTCAGGAGTTACAACAACCACTACATCTAGCAGTTATCATTTGAAATGTTGACCCCCCCCCCATTTGTATGATAAAACATTCAGAAGAAAAACTGGCACTCCTCAATGTGAGGAAAACCTGGGTATACCAGTTTGAATAGATAATTAATGACAGTTCTTCACCTTAAAATGAGATGAGGAGGAGACAGAGGATGGCATAGCCCTTCTATACACATGATGTCTTAGAATGAGCAGGTTTGATAAAACTGTACATGCATAAGACAGATAAATAAAACTAACAGAGAAGAGAGAAATAGAGAGGAAAGAATTTCAGTTATGTTTAGGCTTAGTTACATTGAAATTAAGTGGTTGTTTCAATTACAGCTGACAATTCCATATGTGTGTGTGTGTGTTTAGTCGTTTACTTACAGCTGACAATTCCATATGTAGTGATAATGAACCTGCAAGGCTCGAGTGTGAGGAGTGCCTCCTGCAACAAAGTGCTGCAGTGCAACAAAGTACATTTTAAGAAGACACAGCAAGTTTACCAGCTGTGTGAGTCCAGCAGCAGGGCAAGGAAGCCAGGACCACAGATACAGCCTGTCACTTCCCTTGAGAAAAGGTTTGGCAAGCTCTAAACAAATATCAGCATGCAGTCAGACATACAGCAGTGTGTTGGGGGCAATCCTGTGTTTTGCACCAAGTGTCATATGTATGACTATATGCCTCTTGAGCAAAAGTCACGGGTGTGTCCTCATTGCAAGGAGCTCCAAGAATGTAGGGAATGGGTTCACTCCCTTGATGTCTTGGTTGCAGACCAGGAGAAGCATAGAGAGGGTGAGAGGGACCACGGTGAGGCTTTCAGGGACTTTCAGTCATTGTCCCACCCACAGACAAGCAGCTCCTCAGCTGCTGGGATTGGAAATCGCCGGGCTGGAGGATGCCAGTAGGGACAAGAGGGAAACCACCCCCTAGAGGGGACCCCTTCTACAGGTGACAGGCCTGTATCCAGTTGCACTGAGGATGCTCCTTGTAGGGAAGGGGGGAGGGAGCTTATGGTAGTGGGCAATTCGATTGTCACAAACACAGAGCGAGGGGTCTGTGACAGTTGTGAGGACTGCATGGTGACTTGCCTGCCAGTGCAAAGGTTGTGGACATCACATCTCATCTGGATAGGCTAGTAGAGAGTGCTGGGGACAAGGTAGCAGTGGTGCTGCATGTTGGCACCAACAATGTGGAGAAATGTAGCTGTGAGGCCATTGAGGCCAAATTTAGGTTGTGAGGGAGGAAGCTCAAAGTCAGGACCTCAAAGATAGTGTTCTCAGAAGTGCTACCTGTTCCATGTGCAGGGCTGGCTAGGCAGGTGGCGCTCAGGGGTCTCAACACATGGATGAGATGGTGGTGTCAGGGGGAGGAGTTTAGATTCATTGTTTTGGGACAAGCCTGGCCTGCACAAAGGAGACAGGTGTCACTTGAACGAACATGAAACCAGACTGCTGACGCTTAACACTAACAAAGTGGCAGAGCAGCTTTTAAACTGAATCCCAGGGAAAAGCCGTCACGAGCTGAGTGGCATATGGTTTGGGACTCCTCATACCTGTGGAATGAAGGTGGAGAGAGTAGAGAATCACAAAGTGACAACAGTGTAGGAATTAAGACTGGGAGTGTGATAGGACGTGATAGTTGGTCCATTGGAATGAGAAGCTGTTGAAAAAGGAAAAAAAGAAACAAGCAGCCTTTATTGGGGACCCCAAATGCCTGAACTGTCTGAGCAAAGATGGGAGACCTGGAACATTTGGTGACTAGGGATAACATTGATATAGTAGCCATAATGGAAACCTGGTGGAATTCAGAGAACCAGTCGGATACCGCAATCCCAGGCTATAAATTCTATAGGAGGAATAGGGAGGGGTGTGTTAGTGGTGGGGTGGCCATCTATGTCAAAGAAGGGGTAGAATCCAGCAGAATGGAGATGGATGGCAGGTTTGGATCCATCACAGAATCACTGTGGGTTAAACTACCAGGCCCAAGGAGCGATGCAATAGTGGGGGGTGTGCTATCATCCTCCAGATGGAAAACTTGAGGGGGACCTTGAAATGAGGAGACAAATCAGGGAGATGTCCAAGATGGACAGGAATGTAATTATGGGAGACTTCAATTTTCCTCACATCGACTGGGTCAATGTGCTCAGTCAAGAAAAAGAGACCAGGTTTCTTGCATGCCAAATAACTGTGCCTTGGAGCCACTTGTCATGGAGCCCACCTGAGGACAGGTGACTCTGAATGTAATATTGTGTGGTACTCAGGAACTGGTTAGGGATGTTAATTTCATTGAGCCACTAGGGGATAGTGACTATACTGTGATCTCTTTCGCCATGCATGTTAGGGGGAGAGTGTCAAGCAAATCTGACACAAAAACCCTTGATTTCTGAAGGGCAGACTTCCCTCAGATGAGGAAGCTAGTTAGAAAGAAGTTGAAAGGGAATGTAAAAAAAAATCCAGTCTCTCCAGATTGCATGGAGCCTGTTTAAAACAGGCTGTTTAAAACAGTAGACACCCAGCAGAAGTGTATACTGTACTGCAAAGAAAGGAGGGCTCAACTAAGTCCAAGAGGATGCCGTCATGGCTAATGAGTGGAGTTAGAGAGGCTTTAAAGGGCAAGATGGGGAGACGTGAAAAGCGGTGTGCCCCAGAGATCTGTCCTGAGACTGATGCTTTTCAACCTGTTCATAAATGACATGGAGACAGGGATAAGCAGTGAGGTAGCCAAGTTTGCAGATAACATGAAACTTTTCTGGGTGTTGAAGACCAGAGGGATTGTGAAGAGCTCCAGAAGGATCTCTCCAAACTTGGAGAATGGGCGGCAAAATGGCAAATGCATTTCAGTATAAGAAAATGCAAAGCAATGCACATTGAGGCAAAAAATCAAAGCTTTCTTTATCACCTGATGGGTTCTGAGCTGTCCATGACAGATCAGGAAAGAGCTCTTTGTGTGCTGGTGGACAGCTCAATGAAAGTGTCAACCCAGTTTGCGGCGGCAGTGAAGAAGGCCAATTCCATGCTAGGTATCATTAAAAAGAGGATTAAAAATAAAACAGCCATCATTATAATAATGCCATTGTACAAAACACTGGTAAGGCTGCACCTGAAGTATTGCGTACAGTTCAGTTACTTTTTTGGGTGATCTAATAAAGGTATCATCTGCTCTTGTGTTTGCATTATGTAAGGACCCTCATTCTTGAATTGGGTTAAGACTGCTGGATAGTTTAGTGGTTTAGATCACTGGTTCTTAACTTTTGTTACTCAGATGTTTTTGGACTGCAACTCCCAGAAGCCTTCACCATCAGCTCTGCTGGCTGAGGTTTCTGGGAGCTGCAGTTCAAAAACACCTGAGTAACAAAGGTTAAGAAACACTGGTTTAGATATCTGGAGCCAGGGGTTGGGAATTCAATTCCCCACTGGGTCTCCTTGACAGGGGATGGACTAGGGTCCATTCCAGCTCAGCTTACAATTCTTACTTTTATACTTAAATCCAATTTAAGGATTTTCTGGCTATTTAACATTAATTTGTGCTTCAATTTGTAAATATTTTCTAAAAATCTACATAAAAATTTGTATGCATAGAGACAGGCTAAGGAAATCCAGGCTGTCCTTTGGAAAGATGGCAGCAGATTCCCTGCCCTAAGGGAAGCCTCAGCCACCGTTTTGCAAATGGTGGCCAGTGGCCCTTATGGCAGGCTGTGGAGTTGGAGGCTGCCTCAGCGCCAGGTGGCAGTGTATGGCAGCAGCGCCGGGTGGTGCTGGATGGCAGCAAGGGGAAGGGGATGGGGGACAGGCTGTGGGGATGGGTTGCTGTGGGGCTGACTGGCTATCTATGGGCCCACCAATCAGCTGTTTGGTGGGCCCACAGACAGAGTGGGAAGGCCACAGGCAGAGAGGGAAGGCTAGTTTTCCCTATCTTCCTATGGGGGAACAAATAATAAAAAAGGAGCAATAGTCGTCCTTTCATATTCCTCAGAGTCTCTGGAACTAATGAACACAAAGGGACAAATATTTAATAAATCAACAATGTCTACGGGCCCACCAATCAGCTGTTTGGTGGGCCCACAGACAGAGTGGGAAGGCCACAGGCAGAGAGGGAAGGCTAGTTTTCCCTATCTTCCTATGGGGGAACAAATAATAAAAAAGGAGCAATAGTCGTCCTTTCATATTCCTCAGAGTCTCTGGAACTAATGAACACAAAGGGACAAATATTTAATAAATCAACAATTTTTAACAAATACAGCAATTCATTTTTTATTTGTCCCCATGTTTATATATACACTTTCCCCTAATGTACTCTGGCTGTTGACAAACTGGAAGGATGAGATTCCTGCTATTGAAGAGACAGCTAGGAACCTCTGGTCCCCTTCCAACCAATCACCAGCTATCTTGGCTCTTGGGAAGCCTTGAGCTGCAGTTACCATGACATGAAAATCAGTTGTGCAAGACGTATGGGATACCTCCTTGTACAAATATGAAAATAATGGATTCCAGTACAAGGACTGGCCATGATATTTAATTTCTGTACATTGATTTGGAAAAAAATAAAAAGAAAAAAATGTGTTGGATAAATAATATTAAAATAAACTCATATACCAGTTTTTACATGCATGTCATTTAGTGATTCCTGTAGTTATTTCATACATAAATTGAAATTTGAGCATACCTTTAAGTTGACAATATACTGAAATCAGTAGTTTTGTGGGATTCATTCATAAAAAATACCATCTAAGGCCATTCCTTTTGAAAACTGAAAATATAAAATGGATGTACTTACAGTGCCGCCCTCTTGGAATGAATAAAGGGGTGGAATCTTTCATGACCCACGATAAATTCCAAGTAGAAAACTCTAAAGAGCGTGGTGGAACATTTGTTGGAGACTCTGGAATGCTGAGACCTGCAAGTGGAGAGAAAGAGAAAGAGACAGAAGAAAATGATGTGAAAAGTATACATTACTACAGCTAAAAGCACACTGAATCATAACAATGAGAAAATATTTTCTAGATATAAGACAGAATATTTAAATTGTCTTGCAAATGAACACCAATTCTAATTAACCCACATTTATTCAGTGCTTCAAGCTGATGTTTCTCATAAATATTTTCATTAATGCCAAAGTAAACTTCCCTTTCAGAGGCCTTTCAAAGGATCACTGCAAAAGCACTGCTTCTTCTTAGTTTAGGAAGTGCTACTATAAATATGCTTCATTTTCCTGAGGTTCCCAATTGGTCTAAAATCAAAGATGGCAAAAGTTCGTTTTCGGACTACAGTTCTTTGAATTCTACAGCCAGGATGCCCAGTGGCTAAATTGGCTGGGATATTCTGAGAATTGCTTTATGAAAAAAGTAGTATGGCTAAAAGTAATCATATGGTCAGTCAAAGAAAGTCTGCCCTCATTCTAAACAGGCTTCATCACCCTGAAAAACAGCAATGGAGAAACAAATTCATATGGTTACAGTGCATTTTTACATCCTTCAATCATTAGAGGTATTTTGAGATGAATTCTCATGTGGCATGCCAATCTGATAAAGAGGAAACGTACCATTTCCAATAGCTCAGTCTCAACCATTGATCCTGTCCTCGGTATCAATCAGCACATTATGAATCGGAAAGGGTGTGTGTATGTGCATACATGTCTACAGCCTCTCTGAGTCCATTTACAGAGAGAAGGTCAGCATAAAAATGCAATATATAATACACACTTTACAAGTTCTCTGCATAACTGGGAATTTACATGACTGGGAAGTCATTAATTATTGTTAAGAATTCACTCACCCCATTGAGGTGCTTTGAGTACGTGTCTTAATTTTAGTCTGCTCTTGTGAAGTAAGTATCCTGGTGGATGGGATGGGAAGCTATACTGTAGGGGTTTTACTCTCCACCCCACCATGAGATTATGGTGAGGAGGAACCATCATATCATAGAACTGTCATAGGGTTGGAAGTGACCTTGGAGGTCTTCTAGTCCAACCCCTTGCCCAAGGCAGAAGACCTCATACCATCTCAGACAGATGGCTGTCCAGTCTTTCCTTTAAAACCTCCAGTGATGGGGCACCCACAATTTTTTTTATGTGATAAAACTGAAGTATACATTAATATTGAAAAATGGGCAAGCAACTATTTTGCCTGGAAAAGAGACACAGCATCTGATATACCATGCACCCACACATCTGCACAGATGTTTAGCAATGAGTAGAATTCCCACTGGAAATACCTGATTCATACTATTTAAATAGCAGAAATCCAGGTGCATTGTCTAGCTCCCGCTGTAGGTTAAAAAGATATAAATGTATGCCGGAAAGATGCATCCAATGCAATTACCCATATTTGAAAGAATATTTATCGCCCAGTTCTCAGCTGCACCCAGAAGTACAAAGTATAAATTGCTTTTAATGGGAACACAGAAGATCATATTAGTATCTGCACAGAACTATAAGCAACATCTCTCTGGCTGAAATTTCAGATTCTTGGTGGCAGGTCTGACCTCAGAGCATTTCTCATGTCTCACTTTATTCCTAGCCTCTGGAGAGATAACACATAAAGCAGGTACCTTCACAGCCTGCTGCATTTCAGTGTCACAAATTAGAATGTTCAACACAAGCCTTTAGGGATTATCCTGTCCCAATGACCCCACATCATCTGTGACGGTCTGTTTTCATCTATATCCACTCTAATCACCTGCCAGACCAGCATGGTTCTGAAACTGTGAGATTAGCAGTTCTGTGGCTTTCATCAGAGAAGAAGATGAACTGAAAAGGAACTGGGACACATTGACCTGGCTATGTCACAAGGATCCTAATCTCTTCCTTTTTGCACTTCTATAGCTTGGGTTGGACAGATTAATTTCTCTTTTCAAGTATACATAGGAAATTGAAACAGGGACAAAAACAGTTCTGATTGCAATAGAAGTCCTATCCTTGCATTTATAGATATTGGCTCATGAAAGAGACAAAAACAGCATGCCATCTGAATAGTTGTACTAAAATTGTCTTCCAGGCTCTTGCTTTTGGTCTCTCCTGTGTCCTGCCAAGCTGCTCTCTATGCTTGGAATGACCCCTATTCAAACTGTTCTCCTTTTATATTGACCCAGCCTATCACTCAAGTATATAGACACACACCTTCCTGCCAGTAAGGCTAAACACATACACAGTGCCATACATAGCAATGTTAGCTAGCCATGCTTGGTACACATGGACATCCCCACTTCCACCATGAGATCCTGCTCATGTTTTTCAGTCTTGCCAGCTGGCTGGTACTTAGGGCACAAAGATACAAAATGGCAGCATGGTTGCATCACGATTCAACAGGCAGCGGTTGCTGCACCATTAATTGCTAGGCAATTTTCACGGTGCATCCCAAGACCTGTGGTTGCTGGCCATCTATTCTACAAGCACAGAGGTTGAGAAATGGTTACTTAAATGGCTACCAGAGCAGACAATATACTGTAAATGGAAACTAGATTGGCTGAATTCATTGGAGACTGGCTCACTCATGTAACAGGCAGGCATGCCAATGGCTAATATATGTAATAGTGATTGCTTTGGTAGCAGTCGAGTAACATTTGAACCTGATGCTAGCTAGCTTCTCTATCCTTCACAATGCCTCTCTTGCAGCAGCTATTCTGAGGTCAATCAGAAGAAGGAGGTATATGGCTCCTGGTAAACGGTCTGCATGCTAGACTGCTCTTTAGCAGTGGCATTGAGAGGAATGAATCTTGCCACTGTTGCTGCCACTGTGTTCTTCAAGTATATGACATTTAGTGGCAGCATGACTCTTTCCCTTTGTTGGTGCTCCAGAGGGGTTAAAAGAGCAATGATGCTTCAAAATTAAATACTTTGGAAAACCACACATATTACTTTGTCATACAGCCGGGTGGGCAACATTGTCCTTCCAGGTGTTGTGAGTCCGCAAATTCCATTAGACATTTCAAACAGGGAAGAAAAACTTAATTGGGTTTTATAATGGAAGGGGACATCTGGCTTCTCTGGATTCGGTCCTGTTAGTTTACAAAAAATGATCCCCAGACTGACTGTGGGCAAAATACAACTCAGGGTGGTGCAGAAGTGAAGAGCTTGCTATAGCAGGGGGCAGAAATGAAGAGGGCCATCTTTTTAAGGAGATAGTAGAAAAACGATAAAGGGAAAACAAGCACAGGGGTATGTGGAGAAGAGCTAGATTCTTGGATTGGGTGTTATGCTGGTGCCAGAGGAGGAAGCAAGATCATTATTTATTTATTTATTTATTGCATTTATATGCCGCCCATCTAGACATAGTCTACTCTGGGTGGCTCACAACTTAGAATCAAGGTAAAGGTAAAGGTTCCCCTTGACAATTTTTTGTCCAGTCGTGTCCGACTCTAGGGGGTGGCGCTCATCCCGCTCTTCAAGCCATAGAGCCAGCGTTTTTATCCGAGGACAATCTTTCCATGTTAATTTATTTCTATAAAGTACTAAGGGACTTTGTGGTGCTGACAAAAGCCTCTGGCAATGTTTGTCCATAGGAAAGCATGATTGAAGTAGGAAGCATTTGATCCCAAAATATTTTTTTTTGATTTTTTTTTTTTGAACTTATATACCGCCCCATAGCGCTACAAGCACTCTCCGGGCGGTTTACAATTTAATTTTACAGGCTACACATTGCCCCCCCCCAGCAAGCTGGGTACTCATTTTACCGACCTCGGAAGGATGGAAGGCTGAGTCACCCTTGAGCCGGCTACCTGGGATTTGAACCCAGGTCATGAGCACAGTTTTAGCTGCAGTACAGCGTTTTAACCACTGCGCGACGAGGCTCTTTGTAAAGCATCCCTCCCTATGCTTGGTCCCCAAGGAGCCCTTATGCTTATTCCAATTTCTTTACTATCTTACAGATATCTGGCTATCACAATGGTACATGATTCCATTCCAATCAAATGGGATACAATTATTGATAAAATATTTCTTTCCATTTTGTAAGTTTTATTGTTCCTTTTATTCAGATTAAACACTGTCAGTGCCTCACTGCTGTTTGAAAAGAGACACTTTAACAATGTTCTAAAAAATTAGACGTCTTAAAATTTTACTTTTCTCTGCCTTTCTTTCTCTTCGAATATTCTTTTCATGGGTATATAAATAGTGTAGTTTCATCACAAAGTATTAGTTTGGATAACTGGCACTTCTAGAAGTAGAAAAGATTACATCTGAAGATATGAAGCCTTCCTAATTAACCTATATTCAGATAAAGGTATCCGGTAAAAGGTTTGCATATAGCTAGAATGTGAGATATCACAATGAAAAATTAGGAAAGGAAGAAAAAAAGTCATTTCTTTGTTTTACATTCATCAGCCTTCCAGAAGCTGCACAATGCTTTCCCTGCACCCAAACACACTAAGAAGTAAATGATAATTTTTCATGAATGTTTGCACTCCTATATGAAAGAGTAAGAAACTGTTTGCATGAGGCCAAATGCAGAGTAATGGTGGGGACACAGATGGCAGATGAAGAATTCAGATATGTTCTTCACTCTGCTCATTTTGGTAGGTTATACTCATGCAAGAGTAAGAGAGTGCGGCCACGGTGGCTTTGTAAAACAAAGGAGATGCAGAAACTGTCAAGAAGCAAAAGAAAAATGGCAGTGGCCAGGCATGAAAGATTAGGCTGAGAAGTAGAATAAAGAATGCACTGGTCATACCCTCCAAACATTTTCATATTGCCTGTAATGACAGTGGTCATAGTTATGTGACTTTGCTTCACAGTTTTCTGCATCTTCTGGGATAGGTAAAATAGGCATACAAATCAAAGGTAGAACATTAAAAAAAATACACACCTTCCTTCCTTCCTTCCATTCTCTGCTAATACACTATCTAACATCACAACATATTTTCAGATCAAGCTGGAACATGCCATCT